CACACTATAAACCTTAATTGCATCACCGCCTATACTCTCCACACCATACACCTTAGTTACATCACGGCCTTAACTCTCCACACCATACACCTTAGTTACATCACGGCCTTTACTCTCGACACCATACACCTTAGTTACATCACGGCCTTAACTCTCCACACCATACACCTTAGTTACATCACGGCCTTTACTCTCGACACCATACACCTTAGTTACATCACGGCCTTTACTCTCGACACCATACACCTTAGTTACATCACGGCCTTTACTCTCCACACCATACACCTTAGTTAAATCACGGCCTTTACTCTCCACACCATACAACTTAGTTACATCCCCACCCTTACTTTCATAAACATAAACCTTGCTTACATCACTGTCCTTACTCCCCATACCATCAAACCTTAGTTAAGCCAATTTCCCTACTCTCCACACCACAAACCTGTCGATTTCTGCTCCTCACCACAGGGCTAGCTTCCATATTTAATTAAGTAAAGAAATACGCAAATTTCTACTTCCAGTCTGTCTCTAGGCTCATCCTGAAATGTCAGTCTATTTCATGCTACTTGTCCTTGAGCAATATCTGCATCATTTATCAACAGTAAAATAAAAATATGTTAAAAAAACGTCCATTTCCTTTCTTGCTCACGGATGGTCAGAGATCAAAGTCTATACGCACCAATAACAAAAAAACCCAACATTTTTTAATGTTGGTAACATCTCCTAGGAAACAAGCCTTTTACTCACGACCATTTATGTTATCACTGATCTCTCTTGGCTAAATCCTCACTTGTGTTTATTATAGGCTCAGACTGATATCTCTGGGCTAAATGCTCACTTGTGTTTATGATCCTAGGCTAGGACTGAGAAGAATGGCAACGAATTTTATTTTGTTGGTGTCTGTATTCGGGACCCTGCAAAAAGGGCAATAGTCCCGTGCGCCATCTTCAGATCCCTCAAAGATTTCCCTTTTTTTTCCATGAAACATTTGTGTGTTGATATGGGATAATTTATGAGGGACTGCGCTCGAGCCATGAAATAAAATAAATAGCGGAACAAGAGATATGTGGGCTTGAAAATACAAGTAAAAGACATGTCACTCAAGCGGACGCTTCGGTTGGGCGCCTTCTTCAGCCGACAGTACAATAAAATATACAACATATACATTAAAATATACCAATAAAAGGCGAAGCTTTTTGCCTTCCACGCCCCTGCCTGTTTTGTTCGAGAAATTATAAAATGGAAGCAAATATAACTATACGTGCATAATTGTCTACCTGTCTCTTAAAAAAGAAACGGCTCTCGTATGTATTAGTTTTCTCCAGATTAAAGAATTAATTCAACTATTACACGAAATAAACTGTTTATTTTATCATTGTTTGTTATATACTAAATAAAACCTCTTGCTTTTTTTTATTACATAAAACAAAGTAAGACATCTTTCTAATGCATAGAAAGTAGGAGTAATGGACCAAGTGCTAAAAAAAGTGCAACCCGGTAAATATTTTGTGAATCTCTTGGCCTGTAGTTAGACACTAAAATAAGCGCCGTAATGCAAACCTAGTGTATCTTTCTAGTAAATGTGACAGTGTCACCATATTTTCCTCATCAGTTAGATGTCGATCTCTTAAGTGGATCTTTTAGAAGAAATGTTCTTCCGACACACCCCGACATCAATCCCAACATTTTCCGTCTTGATTTCCCCATTATTGGAAGCCAAAAATTAAATCAAATAGCTTGAACTAATTATTAATTCGATTGTCATGGCTGAGATCCATATCGATCTTCTTGTGAAGGTAATCTCGGGTAAATTTAAACGCCGAGGTGGTGATAATCAGGCGGCAATGTAGGGGTCATGGAACATCTCAGTCGTTAGGTTATTGGGAGATGTGTGGTTATAGAACATTTCAGTTGTTAGGTTATTGGGAGATGTGTGGTTATAGAGCATTTCAGTTGTTAGGTTATTGTAAGATGTGTGGTTATAGAACATTTCAGTTGTTAGGTTATTGGGAGATGTGTGGTTATAGAGCATTTCAGTTGTTAGGTTATTGTAAGATGTGTGGTTATAGAACATTTCAGTTGTTAGGTTATTGTAAGATGTGTGGTTATAGAACATTTCAGTTGTTAGGTTATTGTAAGATGTGTGGTTATAGAGCATTTCAGTTGTTAGGTTATTGTAAGATGTGTGGTTATAGAGCATTTCAGTTGTTAGGTTATTGGGAGATGTGTGGTTATAGAACATTTCAGTCGTTAGGTTATTGTAAGATGTGTGGTTATAGAGCATTTCAGTTGTTAGGTTATTGGGAGATGTGTGGTTATAGAGCATTTCAGTTGTTAGGTTATTGGGAGATGTGTGGTTATAGAACATTTCAGTCGTTAGGTTATTGTAAGATGTGTGGTTATAGAGCATTTCAGTTGTTAGGTTATTGGGAGATGTGTGGTTATAGAACATTTCAGTTGTTAGGTTATTGGGAGATGTGTGGTTATAGAACATTTCAGTCGTTAGGTTATTGGGAGATGTGTGTTTATAGAACATTTCAGTTGTTAGGTTATTGGGAGATGTGTGGTTATAGAACATTTCAGTTGTTAGGTTATTGGGAGATGTGTGTTTATAGAACATTTCAGTCGTTAGCTTATTGCGAGATGTGTGGTTATAGAACATTTCAGTTGTTAGGTTATTGGGAGATGTGTGTTTATAGAACATTTCAGTCGTTAGGTTATTGCGAGATGTGTGTTTATAGAACATTTCAGTCGTTAGGTTATTGCGAGATGTGTGGTTATAGAACATTTCAGTTGTTAGGTTATTGCGAGATGTGTGGTTATAGAGCATTTCAGTTGTTAGGTTATTGGGAGATGTGTGGTTATAGAACATTTCAGTTGTTAAGTTATTGGGAGATGTATTGGTCATTGATAATTACAGTTGTACGGGTTGCTCAGATTCAAAAATAATTTTACAGGAATTCCAGGAACTTAACACTCATGAAACACGCAGAGCAAACAATAGACCCTTAAAATAGAAAAGAAATGGGACGCGCGTGCCTATGAAAAGAAAATATCTCTGTTGACAATTTATTTTCAGTTTAAAAAAAAAAAAATTAGACGGGATGCATCCAATGATACTAGAAAATCAATCATGAACTAATTAAGGAATCAGTTTTAGGTGAAATTAGATATTGATTGCAAACAGGAACACTATCATATTTTTATAATACTTGAACATTAGTTCAACAGTTTGAAATGATAATTTAATACCATTTGAAGCAATTAATGTTAATATTAATAGAAAGCACTTGATCTTGGTGTAATATGTTTTCTGTTAATGTAAAAATCAATTATTTTAAAAGTTATTAAATTGTTGTTTTGATCGTTACAAAATAACTTCTACAATCTATAAACAGAAAACCAGGTGTTGAGCATATTTGTTCGAACTCGTAGTTAATACACCTATAGCCCTTAGCCTATAACCTTTAACCTGTATCCAACTAGAGCAGCGGTTCTCCACCTGTGGTTTGCGACCCCTTTGGGGGTCGAACGATACATGGGTGGCCCTAAGACCACTTGAAAACACATATTTATGAAGTAGAAACGAAAACAATTTTATGGTTTGGCCGGGGGGGGGGGGGTTCATCAAAACACGAGGAACTGTATTAAAGGGTCAAGACATTAGGATGGTAAAGAACCACTGAACTAGAAAAACTTCCACTGGAATCTAACATAGGACAAGGTGGACGATATAGACCACTTGAAAACACATATTTATGAAGTAGAAACGAAAACAATTTTATGGTTTGGCCGGGGGGGGGGGGTTCATCAAAACACGAGGAACTGTATTAAAGGGTCAAGACATTAGGATGGTAAAGAACCACTGAACTAGAAAAACTTCCACTGGAATCTAACATAGGACAATGTGGACGATAACGCGTGAATAATTTAGTGGGGTGCTGGACTTTGTCTTCATTTATTTAACCAAGACAGTCTCACCTGTCTTACCTAACTCACCTGTCATACTTAACTCACCTGTCATAACTTACTAAAATTTTAATGGTGCTATCTTTTGCATGTGGTTCATATATCGGCGCTAATGTTTTGTTTTGGTAAATGTACTTGTTTTGGTAGAGAATCCGAAACATGGGTACAGAGCAGGTGGTAAGGGCCATGTAACCAAAGGTGGTAAGGACCATCTAACCAAAGGTGGTAAGGGCCATGTAATCAAAGGCGGTAAGGGCCATGTAACCAAAGGTGGTAAGGGCCATGTAACTCCTATGAAATTACTACATTTCTAAATAGTATTTTAAAAATATCATAAGTAATAAACTCAAAGTGAACTTAGTAACAAAATAGGGATGAAGAAACTGTCCTTAGTGTCAGTTAAATGTAGGTCAATATATTATATGGCACTGTCATTAGTTTCAGTTAGTTGTAGGTCAACATATTATATGAAACTATCATTAGTGTCCGTTAAATATAGGTCAACATATGGCACTGTCATTAGTGTCAGTTAAAGGCAGGTCAACATGTTATATGGCACTGTCATTAGTGTCAGTTAAATTTAGGTCAGCATATTATATGAAACTATCATTAGTGTCGGTTAAATGTAGGTCAACATATTATATGAAACTGTCATTAGTGTCAGTAACATGTAGGGAAACACAGTAAACATTATTGCATTTGCTGCACTTTAAGTTACGAGATACATTTGTAGACTGCCCCCCTCCCCCCCACCTCATGTTTGTGTGTGTCTGCAAAAAATCATGCGAGTCTGCATGAAGATATCCAATATTTGAAGATTTGGCCACAATTCTTAGCTCATGTTTATACAAGAAAAGGATGTTTATTTCCTGAATAGTTAACCAGTGTCAATGTTTTAACAGGTCTGAACTCGCCATCAGGGTCATGACGTCCAGGACATCATTTATCCTGGTGTTGCTCACTTTCCTTGGGACGTAACCATGGACGCCATCCGACAGGTGGCGGTGGCAGCAGTGAAAAATGCCACCAAAAACCAGCGCGTGAAGCTGAACGTGGGCGGGGCTGTCTTCGAGACCTGGACTCACACCTTGCTGAAGAAGCCAGGCACGAGGCTGTCCAGACTCGCACGTGCCTTGGAGAAAGATGAAAGCTATGATGCCGACAGAGGAGAGTACTTCTTCGACCGACATCCGGGCATTTTTGCAACCGTCATGCATTACTATCGCACCGAAGAACTTCACACCGACCACAACATATGTGGGAACATCATCAAAGGGGTAAAATCTCAATGTTGTTTTTTTGTTATTTTGTGTAACTGTTTAGATTTATTAAAAAATTTTTTTAGCTACAGAGATAATTTATTGAAAGGTAAAATATTTGCTGTAAAAGAAAATATATTAGACTACTAAGGGAAAACTAAATTTAAATTGACAAAATAAAATAAATAAATTAACAATGCAATTTTATAAAAATCTTATCTCATCTAATCTTAAAAGCATTTTAAGCATTTGAAGACGTTAAATTAAAATGAAAATGTATTTTATCACTAAATTACAAGACGATAATTAACATATCTGTTCAATGGATAAAATATGCGGTAACAATGTTGGATTGGTTAAGATTGGTCATGTGACCATGTTTCACTGTCATGACAAGAAGTAGAGCTAAACCTGTAAATAGCAAAAACCATTGGAGCCAAAACAAATGTCAGTGCTGTTTCCAGGATTGGGTGCTCATAGAACGTTCACCGAGCATGGCGATTGTGCACAAAATTTGAAAGAAGAAGAAGATATATGCACATTGATGATAAGAGTACATGATAAAACAAACAGAAAGTTGATAAATTTTACAATCATGTATAAATAACCAAAGAACAATAATGAAATGGGATAAGGTATTCATTGGGCTAATATATGCTCCGGGCAGTTCACTTACTTTAACATGAACATTCGTGTACAATGGTGACTGGTCTATTATGAACAGCCGAACTTAAAATTAAAATATTTGTACATGTGCAATGTTGAGATTTTTTATCGTGTTGCTCTCAGAATGTTTTGACAAATTGTACACATTGATTCCCACCGTTCATGACAACCCTCACTCTCGAGCCAACCTACTGGCACCCGTTGACAACACGGTGATCTATCCAGATTTCAGAAACACACAGCGTGGGTAGTAGTTTAGCGATTCAAAAGATCTACATTCCAACCTTATACATGACGTGATACGGAGTCACTATTTAGTTCCTCGGAAATGCGTTCACATTCTACAGGGTTAGCTCATTATTCACAGGATTTTTGTTAAAAAAATAATATTCGATCCGAACTGGTGGTAAGTTTGCGTATTTGCCTGGGAAAATGCTATTTCACGTAGTGCTATTCACAGGTTTCACTATAAAAATAAGAAAGACAAATTATATTATATTATAGAATCGTCTATTTAGGCTGAAAAGCAATAATTTGATATTGAAAAGGACATTTTAACAGAGAAAAGTAATTCCAGAGGCAATTCATGTTTCAGACATAATCAAGCTATTGGGAGGGGGTCCTCAAATTTTTTGAACAGAGGTCCGGTGGTTCGCTGTCCTTCAGGCAATGTTGTGGACCGGAAAACTGATTGAAAAAAATATTGTAAAATTCCTATTCACACTGCATATTTTGTTTGAAGTAATGAAGACACACCAGGAAAACAGCACAATATTTAAAATGAATTTTTTCATAAACATAATATATATAGGGTTTCAATGGGATGTATATGTCTGCTTTTTGTTGATGAGGTGGCAAATGACCGGTTGCATTCTTGTCAGTTCTGTTTGGGTGACCGTAAGTCGGACACTCAGTTTAGGTTAAGGACCCCTGTTGGGCCAAATCTAGCTCACTATCCGTAGTTTGAGGACCTCTTCTATAAGGTGTCAGATAAATCCTATGTGAAACATCGGGAGAAAGTCTAAACATCAATCAATGTTGAGTTACTATTTATTTCTGTGTCAATGTTGAGTTAAAATAATTTTATTTCTGTGTAAAAGTTGAGTTGCCATTTATTTCTGCGATAAAATTTGATACTATTGACAAAGGTCAAATCAAACGCAATGGAAACTGTCGGACAGAATAACTGTTGTATTCAGGATAAAATAAAATGATTTCATCAGTCATAAACACAGTCACCGTTCTTCCCCCAAAGCTGGACGCGTAATAGTTCTTTGAAAAAAAATTGTATAAGAAAAATAGACAGGCCGGAAAAAAAGAAGAATATGTAACGGTGTTGGCTGGCCAGGCTAATGAATCCACCCTTGACCTATGAATGGCTTAAGGTCGATAATGTTAGGAATGCATCAGCTATGGGATTCTGGACAATCTTCTGGCTGATTGCACTGGCGGGTACATGCTCTCTTTATATAATGGACAATTAATGAACCTTTCATGCTGATCTGAGAACTTGACTGTATCATTTCCAAAACATATTAGCGGCGTACAAAAAAAACAAACAAAAAAAACTATAAAAAAAAACTAATCGATTAAACTAAATGCAAAATATTGGAGAACAAACTCATTATTATTTCACGTAGCCGTCTAAGGTAATATAAATATTAACACCAATGAAATATTATTGGTCAATAATATAAGATATCACGTGTCGTCAAATCTGCAACCAAATTTACAACCAAATCTAGCAACATGATGGATAGATCGCCTTTTGTACGGCAAGCGATGAGACCCATTCAAGATTGAAACAATTACAAAGTACTTGCAGTATAGAGTATGGAAACAATATGATCATTTGGAAATGTTTGATGGTCTTTTCTGTGACACAATGCCGGAATTATTCGGCAGCTCTTCCTACTCATAGTACCATTGTGAAAATCTTATTAACTAAAACTTAAGTTAATTCCCCACCACTTTTTTTTTGGCCACTCCATTTGAACTCACAGAGCAGTTAAGATAACCCACCACAAGGCCTGATAGGAATATTATCTCCAGATCACCATCACTAATGGTCAATGACCAGGTTTTTATAGGACAGTGAAACAATGACGCACAGTATTTCCGGTACTTTTTGTATGGCTATGGCTCTGGCTCTGGTTTTTAAATGAGAGTGAAACAATGACACCGTAAGTGAGACATTTTATTAACTTGGCCGCGCATGCCATTTTTTAATTATAGGTAATTATATACACTTAGTACAGACACAATTCGATTTCCCGTCAGTGACACCAATGCCCTTGTGAACGGGGGGGTTTGGGGGGGGGGGGGGCGAATGGTGGTTGACAGTACGCCAAATGGTAAATTATCCATAATTGGCTTAGTTCTAAAAAAAGTCATTTTTATTCAGGCCCAGTTCAAAGAAAGATGGTAAGAAAAACTGCTGCGTTATTCATGCATTGGTGGCATAAAGTAGGTTCTTATAGTGTGATCACCGTAACCCTGTAAAAAAAATGTTAATTAAGAAGTTTAAATGAATAAGAATTTTAATAAAAAATTATTTAAAAAAAACTTTACTAATTAGTGACAATATATAATAAATAATTTGTATAAACACAAGCAGATCAAGGGACACCCTGATTTCCACCAGCATCTCATCCATTCCTCTCAGATGAAGTATAGAGAGCAATGCAAAACCAAAATCAAAGTATGCGCCAAAATGCATTCGATCATTTTGAATAGATCAAACATTTTCTGGGCAGGCGCTCAATTCCCCCCCCCCCCACTAGCCCCTTCCCTACCTTCACTCGTGAGTCTTAGGTGCTCTAGATAGCTGCCCCTACTAGCCCCTTCCCTACCCTCACTCGTGAGTCTTAGGTGCTCTAGATAGCTGCCCCCTTCACTCGTGAGCCTTAGGTGCTCTAGATAGCTGCCCCCCCCCCTTCACTTCAATGTGATAAAGCAGGCACCCTTTTATTTTATACTTTTATTTATATATATATATACCGGTATATAAAGATATAGCCATATTTATATATGTATAATGCCTATATCACACATAATTAATTGATAAAATGGTATGCGTGTGTGGAGGGGAGTCTAGCGCCATTTTAAGGTTGTGCCGTGGGCGCAGCTTTTCCGGGCACGGGCCCTGGTGACATAATAACATTGCAAGCAGTGTGACTACATCGGACCTGTCAAGTGATTTCTTTTGTTCTTGGTAAACGTCCAACACGGGCTCCCTGCCCACCCACGGGCCTCCACCCCCACCCCAAGGTTTGAAAAAGCAGCGTAACTTAACGCGTCTCATTCTCTCATCGAACAGTCTGACAGTGTGGTCGATGACCGTGACCTACTTCCTTGTGTTCGATGACCGTGGCCGATACCGCAGGTTTCCCCACAATTACATTTGGCCTCCTGCAGCATCGGTAGCACATCAAATTAGATAAATGGCCCTAGCAGCCTCATTGATCAAAAGCCATAGAGCCATCTAAGGGTTAAACTGGCTCGTGGAAAGCGATTCTTTCTTCAAGTGGTCATTAGCTGGAATCGCTGAAAGTACGATTTGGGTATTGGCTCACAATATGAAGGTCAGTTTGCATTGAAATGATTTTTGAATGAGAAAAAAGAGGTTTCAATAAAAGAATCAATATTGGAAAAATGAGTTTAAAGTTAATTATAATCGAGAAGCAATATCCTGTAATACCGTTTACAGTTGGCTTCTCGAGTAAACATTATTTTTTTTCCTGATATAGATACTGCGTTCAAAATGTTCAATAAATGGTACGATCAAATCGAATTAATTGCCAACTGCGGTATGGGTATACTGTATAGTGTCGCTATGTAACAGAATGTTAAAATAGCCTACAAATGAATAGCGCTGGACATTTTTTCCCTTGGAAGTTTCGCAAAACCTTGTTTCTTAGCATAGTATTCGGTGAACAGAGGCGTAGTGATACACAATTGTTACTATGGGCTACGTTCACATTTAGGTCAAACAGAGTAGCTTTCCCGTGGTTGCCCCCTACTTTTACCACTTTGGGTTGGTTCCAATATCATGTTTGTTGTTTCTAAACTCGATTCCAGTAAGTGAAGTAGAGTTCATTAAAACAGACCTAACAATAGAGTTTTATATTGTAAAAAGTATACTTTTACTCTGAATAATTCCTTCCCTCTCTATTCACGGTGACGTCATCCGATCCAAAGTTTACTCAGCCAAACCATGACAACAACAAACGATATGAAAGCGGAAATGATATTCACCAGCCCAATGAACTCTTCAAAAATAGTTGCTTCGTTCGTGAATGTAACCAATACTACCCATTGGCGTTTGCGACACGCATATTTCAGAAAGG